TATTGCTTGGGGGGTTAATGTTTTTATTTTCCTCCTCAAAATGAGGCCTCTAGGCATTTAGTGGCTTTGCTGGAGGTGTGGTCTTCAGTTTATGAAGGAGGCGATTAGTTTTTTCTGCATGTAGTGCAGCTAGTGTCGAACGTAGCGCATTAATTTTGGCTAGTAGTTCCTGCGAAGGTTATTTCTTGTTTTTTGCGGAAAGTATTGCTAGTTCCTTATAGTAATCCAGGAGTTTGGATTGGCTCCTTTTTTTGAGGTAGGAGGATCTCCTGATAAATAGCCCTCTGAGTATTATGGGCATTCCATACCATGTTGTCAGCCACTTCACCAGACTCGTTGTCACTGAAGTAGTCTGTCAGTTCAGACTGAACAGAAGCCCAAAACGAACGATCAGTCAGTAGTGACTCATTAAGGAGTCAATGCCCCTTGCCCTTAAATTGAAACTCCTCATATATAAGTAGGTGGACTGGGCTGTGGTCAGACCAGGTGATCTCCCTGCATATTTGGAAGTACGACAATTGAGCTAGGGTGGTGTTGTCTAAGAACATCGTATCTATCCGGGTGTACCTGTTGTGCATTCTGGAATGAAAGGTATAATTTGCCACTGTAGGGTGCAGTGTTTGACATGCGTCATAAAGGCCATATTGCGTGAGCACTTTAGTCAGGGCTTTGCCTGTGGCGATCAGTTGTTTTTTGTTTTGTTTTTCTGCGTCCTGTGGGGTGGGCCGTGGTGTTAAGTGTAGGCGTCTGGATAAAGCTGAAGTCCCCACACAAGAGTGGGCCACCTGCTCTGACTTTGTCAATGGTAAGTAGGAGAGACTGGAGATACGCTTTGGAATCTGTATTAGGGAAGTAGGCTGTTACCAAGGTGCATTGTGCATTATTGAATAGGCCTATAAGGATAATATATCTGCCCTGTGGGTCTATATTTTTTTTTTTTTTATTGGATAGTGAGAGCTACATCTTTATGGAGAAAGATAGATTCCCCGAGTAGTGTTTGTTAAAGATAGACTGTGTGTGATCCCTGCTAAAGTGTATCTCTTGGATGCAGGCAATATCCCCCTCTCTTTAAGTAGGAGACTACGTTTACCCGTGGTGTTAAGCTCCTTAACATTAAGGGTCGTAATTTTCATGTTGTGTTGCCCACTAATATCCTGTGTTTAATACTATAGTGAGCACCTATCATGTTTTTTATCACGATATTTGAACTGTGGTGAATGGACTGGCCGCACAGCCAAAATCTATGGAACTGTTTTGAGCAGGAAAACCATGCTTGCGGTCGGTCAAATGGTACATCCAGCTATCTCCCGAACCACTAGACTAATTCGCATAATTTTTGGTTATGTTTGTTCCCTAATTATGCTGGTTCAGAAAATGTAATTTTATGCGAATGTGATGTATAATTTTGGAGTTATAGAAATTGTGTAAAAAGTGTATTTCTCACTTGGAGATAATTGAGCTGATACAGTAATTAGCCCAATTATCTCCCAAGCAGAGGGGAGGAATTTAATGGAATGAATGGGAGTGTTTAACTGTACTGTATTGTGTTGATTGGCTGTTGTAACTTTGTGTCCTGTGTACCACAAGGTCCACATGGGTGGTAACCTTGCGGGAAAATGTGTATATATGAAACAATAAAGCCTTAGTTCATTCTGTTCCTGCTTACACTCCAAAACTGTGTGTCATCCTTTTATTGGAGGGAAAGAAGATTTGCTCCTGTGTCTGCTGTTCCAGCTTGCAGGAGATTTAAGGGAAGAATGCTTGCTCCTGTGTCTGCTGGTCTAGCTTACAAAAGATTCAATGGGGAAAGTCCTTGTAAGGACTAGAGCTTATTCCCCATTCGGCTCCAGGAAGGAGCTGTTCCAGGGCCCCAGTCCAGCCACAGCGATTGTGGGTAGAAGTGCTGCGGCTTGTCCCCTGTTCCAGCTAGGAAGCGGTCCTTTGGCGGAGGTACAAGTGGTGGCAGCAGTGGGATCAGCTTCCTAGCCCTGGGAAAACCAGCACTACTGCAGTATGGAAGAAGAGTACTACCGGTCAATATCCGGCTTCGATGCCAGGCTCCAGCAGTGACTTCAGGATGTGCAGCACAGTATGGAGCACCTCCACCCAGAGGATAGCGAGACAGAGTGGAGGGTGATGCTGCGCACTGATCTCTGGAAAGAGGACCTTGACAAAATTCGACTCTTCCAGAGATGGGAAATCTTTACCACCAACCAGCGCCAAGACGAACAGCTAGAACTGCGGATGCCGTTCCTGGAAAACCAGCCCTCAGCAGAATGGGTAAGAGAATTGGAGACCCTTGTCATGTCTGAAGTATATTTGGATATCTCATACCAGGCCTTGCAGTGGCACGCATTCCTTTGCTACCCCAGGCAGATCTATCTCCAACGGATTGAGGGAGAAGACTACAATGGCCCTGGTCTTTTGTGGGAGGTTTTTGAATATAGTACGGCGTTAGGAGACCCGGACAGTTCCTGTTTCTGGTGCATACGAGATCAGCAGGAAGACCGCTTAGGCCTTATGGAAACAGTGGAAATTCAACCAGATTTGTCTTATTTGGCCAACCAAGAGTGGGAGCTCGAGCAGGACTATGCCTGTCTCTGACCTGATGGTGCTTATGGACTATACCACCGGGAGCATTGAGTTTTGTTCCTCCTCCCCAGCAACTAAGCCTGTCCTCAGGAGACCTGGGTACTGTACCCCCTACGTCACAACCAGCCCCAGAGATGGAAGACCTTATTGACTTGGGTCCTGGGATGACACCCAGTTTGCAGGTAGAGATGGGGCCGAAGTCTCTCCACCGGCCCTACAGAGATGCTGGGTAGCCGGCCCAGATCTCCAACCCCAGATGGAGATATTAGGAGTGGGGACAATCTGTCCCTCTCCACAGCAGCCATATGCGTCACAGGGAGAGAAGTGTGTCGTTCTTCCCCCTCAGTGGCAGAGTGTATTATTTGGAGTGAAGACAACCTGTCTCACTCCCCAGCGGCAGTGTGCAGTACAGGGAGTGGAGTGTGTCTTCCTTCCTCCCCAGCGGCAGTATGAGGTCCAGGGAACAGACACCTAGTCTTGTTCCCCAGCAGCAGTGTATCATACAGGGAGTGGAGACAACCAGTCTCTCTCCCCAGCAGCAGTGCGTATCACAGGGGGAGAAGTGTGTCGTCCTTCCTCATCAGCAGCAGAGTGTATTATTGGGAGAGAAGAGGGTCAGTCTCTCTCCCCAGCGGCAGAGTGGAGTGGAGACAACTGGTCTCATTCCCCAGTGGCAGAGTATGTTACAGGGAGAGTCCTTCCTCCTCAGCGACAGTTTTCATTGCAGGGAGAAGAGACTCCCCAGCGGCAGTATGCATCTCAGGGAGCCGAAGGTGTCGTCCTTCCTCCCCAGCGGCAGAAGGAGTTTCAGGGAGAGGAGACAACCGGTCTCCCTCCCCAGTGGCAGTGTACCTTTCGGGGAGAAGAGAAAACTGACCCTTCTCCCCAACCACAGGGAGACAGCAGCCCTGATCCCAATGGTGCAGATGGGACTGCAGTCTCTGCACCAGACCTACAGGGATGCTGGATGGCTGATCCAGATCCCCAATCTACCCCACAAGAATACCAGGAGGTGGGTGATCTCCTCTCTCTACAATAGACCCCCAACCAGGTCCTGGGGGTAGTATTCGCTGATCCAACCCCAGCATAAGAGCTGACATCCGGGCAGAGCGCAGTTGGCCTCTGTCCTCTCCTTTTCTTTTGTCCAGAGCCTGAAAACCCTCAGGCCATCCCAGCTAAAGTGCTGGCAACGGGGCAGAGTGCAGTTGGCCTCTGCCCTCCCTTTGTCCTTGATCCTGGAACTGGCACACCTCTCAATTGCCCAGCGGTAATGCTGGCTGCAGAGCAGAATCCCTCTGGTCTCTACCCACCAAACAACAAGGAAGCCAGGAGTACCAGTCTTTACTTGTGGGTGGGCTACTCAACTAACTCAGGCACTGACTGACCGGAGGTCAGGTACCTGGTTAGTCTACCCCCAGGGAGGGAGATATGTGGTGAAAGTGACCTCTCCACTGGGTTTTGGAGAGGCCTGCTTGCCAGTCTCTTGCCTTGTGACTATGGCCCCTGAGAGGTATGGCCATTTAAAAATCTTTATTTGTGGCTATTGTATGTTGAAGACTGGTTTTGGCCCTTTAAATTGTACTGGTACAGTTCTGTTCCTGCTTACACTCCAACACTGTGTCGTCCTGTTATTGGAATTGGAAGGAAAGGAGATTTGCTTCTGTGTCTGCTGTTCCAGCTTGCAGGAGATTTTAGGGAAGAAGGCTTGCTCCCGTGTCTGCTGGTCTAGCTTACAAAAGATTCAATGGGGAAAGTCCTTGCAAGGACTAGAGCTAATTCCCCATTTGGCTCCAGGAAGGAGCGGTTCCAGGGCCCCAGTCCAGCCATAGCAACTGTGGACAGAAGTGCTGTGGCTTGTCCCCTGTTCCAGCTAGGAAGCGGTCCTTTGGCGGAGGTACCCAGCCGGGGTACAGGGAGCTCTGCCACAGAGTAGGACAATTGTGCCTTGGCTGTATGGCTCTAGTGGTTTGTCCTTATCTGATGCAAATCAGGCAGTCGGCGTCTAACCAGGAGGCGTTAAGGAGCGTAGCATATTGATTCAGTCATATATAATAAGTGAACTATATGTACATTACTCTTGCTAGAGCAGTTATAGCCATCAAATTTGTCTCCCATAATGAAGTTAACTGAATGCATAATAAACTTTACAAACTAAATATACAGTCATGCATAGCATACTATTATACAATACCTTTCGGGCCGGGGACCTGTGTTTTCAAGCTAGAAACCATTCTTTTGACAGTCTGGGGATTTTGGCCGGTGTGGCCGGGTGAAGTTCTGGTAATGGTATACCCCAGTCTTTCAGATTTTGCATGCAGTCCTTTTGTGTTGCCATGGCGTTGGTCACTCCTTGCTTCTGGATAAGTAGTTTCACCGGGTATCCCCATCGGTAGGTCAGGTCGTTGGATCTAAGCATGGCACTGATTTGTCACAGCGATTTCCAAAACTGCAACGTAGTGGCTGACAAGTCTGCAAAGCCTTGGATATAGCTGTATGGCTAAGGAAGGGCAGCGTTTCTGCAGGCCTTGGTAATGAGCTCTTTCACATGGTAAAAATGGATGCACGCTATTACGTCCCACATGACCGTTGCTCGGTCTCCGACGGCGGTGAACTCTATCAGTCACCAGCTGTTCTGGGTGCGTAGCTAGTATCAGCTCTCGGAACATCAGGTAGTTGGCCAGGTCAGAATGTTGGACCATCTCTGGTATACCTCTGAACCGAAGGTTGTTCCTTGTGGACCTGTCCTCCAAATCTTATGGGTGACATGAGGAAGGTGGGTATCTGCTTTGGTAGCTTTATGGTGCTTGGAACTTTGGTTATTTTTAGCTCCTTAGTTAGTGAGCCACGGAAGCTTTAAATGCTTGCGGCCAGTCCGTGACTCTTATTATATATTTTTATTTTTTTCAACACAGAACTTAACCTAATTTCAGAAGCAGAAACATTAAAATAGTTGCTTTTTGAGAGAAGTCATCTGAGAAACATTTCAGGTACACATACCGAAGATTAAATTACCATTATTTTTTTATTTTCTAAAATTATGGGAATGATTTATTGACTTACAGATACTGGAGATATTTCCATTTTGATTTACTATGCTCATCCCGGGCATGATACTACATCTTGCTGTGCCTACACACTTTTTCTTGAGTCTTCTTCACTGAGCACAATTTCACATCTACCAAGAATAATCAGGTGATTCCAGGTAGCATGAGCCCTACATTGAGCTGTAATTATTTTGTCTAGAGTCTCCCCTTAAACAAAAGTGAGAATGCATTAAAATCTTTAAATTCCCCCTGAAAGAGAAGTGTTATGTAGAATATTATTACCCCTATTTTATAATTTGTTTGTCTATTGCTATATTGCTGTTACATTATGTTGTTCTGTTAGCTAATTTAGACTTAATTAAGATTTCAAAGCATTTTTATTCTAGAGTCTAAGAATTAGAACCCAGCAAAGAATAGAGTTGCATCATAGCAAACACGTATTTGTCCGTATTCTAAACATGGATAATCTAATGTATTAGAGAGGTTTATCAGATATTTCTTTCCACATTCTTCAGTCAAATCCCTAGGTTGCAGTCTCAGAAATACAGATTTGTACATACTGACATTCTTTAGCCTGGTAATAAAAAATGGCTTACATTGACAAACATGCCACACAACTTCAAGACTGACACAAGGAAAAAAGTACTTCTTACATTTCCTAAAATTTCCACTTTAGAAACGAATCCAACAAGTATATGCAATATGTTTAGTTTATTACTTTTACTTTATGATTAGGTTAATATTGTTATATTTTCTTTTTATTATGTGATTACCTGCTATAGAAAAACTCAATCAGATACTAAATAACATGACAAGGTATTTATATTTAATAAATTGGCTCAGTTCAAGGTTTGTTTAAAAGTCTATATCAGACACTTTTTGATATTTGTAGGAAAATCAAGATTTTGAGCTGTGTTAATGTATGGTTAACATATAGGCATGTAAGTGTATTATCCATGGAAAACCCTATGCTTTATTTTTTTTAATGGACATCACTTAGCTCATTCAACAGAACATAATGATACAAGGAATACATTCAAGTGCACTGATAGATAAAATATCAGAACAAATAGTGATATTCCTTGCATTAATTATATTGAAAATATGTATATTGTGAAATAAAAGAAAGTATTCTGAATAAGTGTATATGTGTGGATTTTTAATCGAGTTGTACTAAAGTGTAGTTAGCCCGATTGTGAAACCTCTCTGTGATTCAGCAAATCATAACTGTTTTTTTTTTTTTCTTCCAATATGTTCTAAGAATTTGATTGTAAAACAATAGGCACATTCATAGGTAACTAATGAGTAGAGTTGAGCGAACCCGAAATGTAAAGTTCGGGTTCGTACTGAACATTAAGATTTTTGGCCCCCGGACCCGAACACTGACATATCACTCTATGTTCAGGTTGAGTTCGGTGTTCGGCGATTTAATGGCGCGTTTTGAAAAGCTGCAGGGCAGCCAATCAACAAGCGTTTGACTTGTGTGCCCTTAGAAGCCATCACAGCCATGCCTACTAATGGCATGGCTGTGATTGGCCAGTGCAGCATGTGACCCAGCCTCTATATAAGCTGGTTACTTAGTCTTATTAACTTATGCCCCTACTTGCTATACAGCCTGTGGCTGTTCACTGTTAAAAAAAACCCAAAAAACATTCCCCCCTCCTGCGCCCCCACCCATGATGCGTGAGTGGGGGCTTTTAAGCTAAAGGGGACCTATTGCCCCCCCCATCCCCCACCCCTGAGCTGCGGCTGGGGGCCCTAAATATCAATAAGAGGGGGACCTATTGTGCTCCCCCCTAGCCCCCACCCCTGAGCGATGGGTGGGGGCCATAAATAAAAAATTGGGGGGGACCAAATGGCCTCCCTCCTGACCCCCACCCCTAAGCAGTGGGTGAGGGCCATAAATAAAAATTGGGGGGGGGCCTAATGTCCTCCCCCCTGGTCCACACCCCTGAGCGGTGGGTGGGTGCCAAAAATAAAAATTGGGGGAGAGACACCTAATGTTTTCCCCACGCTGTGTAATTTGACTCCTAACACTCTAATTGGTTACTTAATCCACCAATCAGTGTTATGAGTAGTGATGTACCGAACGGTTCGCTGGCGAACGGTTCCTGGCGAACATAGCATGTTCGCGTTCGCCCCGGCGGGCGAACATATGCGCGGTTCGACCCGCCCCCTATTCGTCATCATTGAGTAAACTTTGACCCTGTACCTTACAGTCAGCAGACACATTCCAGCCAATTAGCAGCACACCCTCCCTAGCAGACCCTCCCACCTCCTGGAAGGCATCCATTTTAGATTCATTCTCAAGCTGCATGCTTAGTAAGAGGAGGGAAAGTGTAGATGCTGTTCATAAGATAGGAAAAAGCATAGCTAGGTTAGGGTTAGGGTATGCTTTTTTTTAATTTATTTTTTCTATGTAATGTAATTGCACTTAGTTGTCTGCCACTGCTGCCAGCTTCTGTGTCAGGCTCACAGTGCATACTGTGCCCATTTCCCCAGTCAGTGCCACCAATTACATCTGGTGTCACAATAGCTGGATTTAAAAACAAAAAACTTTTTTCACTGTTATAGATTGAATAGCAGTCAGTTGTCTGCCACTGCTGCCAGCTTCTGTGTCAGGCTCACAGTGCATACTGTGCCCATTTCCCCAGTCAGTGCCACCAATTACATCTGGTGTCACAATAGCTTGATTTAAAAACAAAAAACTTTTTTTACTGTTATAGATTGAATAGCAGTCAGTGTCCTTAAAGCGGGTGTGTTACGCTAACAGTGGATACGGTGACCAGTGCCACCAATTAGATCTGGTGACACAATGCTTGGATTTAAAAAAACAAAACACTTTGTTCACTGTTATAGATTGAATAGCAGTCAGTGTCCTTAAAGCGGGTGTGTTACGCTAACAGTGGATACGCTGACAAGTGCCACCAATTAGATCTGGTGACAAAGCTTGGATTTAAAAAAACAAAACACTTTTTTCACTGTTATAGATTGAATAGCAGTCAGTGTCCTTAAAGCGGGTGTGTTACGCTAACAGTGGATACGGTGACCAGTGCCAACAATTAGATCTGGTGACACAATAGCTTGGATTTTAAAAAAAACAACTCTTTTTTCACTGTTATAGATTGAATAGCAGTCAGTGTCCTTAAAGCTGGTGTGTTACGCTAACAGTGGATACGGTGACCAGTGCCAACAATTAGATCTGGTGACACAAAGCTTGGATTTAAAAAAACAAAACACTTTTTTCACTGTTATAGATTGAATAGCAGTCAGTGTCCTTAAAGCGGGTGTGTTACGCTAACAGTGGATACGTGACCAGTGCCACCACTTAGATCTGGTGACACAAAGCTTGGATTTAAAAACAAAAAAACACTTTTTTCACTGTTATAGATTGAATAGCAGTCAGTGTCCTTAAAGCGGGTGTGTTACGCTATCAGTGGATACGGTGACCATTGCCACCACTTAGATCTGGTGACACAAAGCTTGGATTTAAAAACAAAAAACACTTTTTCACTGTTATAGATTGAATAGCAGTCAGTGTCCTTAAAGCGGGTGTGTTACGCTAACAGTGGATACGGTGACTAGTGCCACCACTTAGATCTGGTGACACAAAGCTTGTATTTAAAAACAAAAAACACTTTTTTGACTGTTATAGATTGAATAGCAGTCAGTGTCCTTAAAGCTGGTGTGTTACGCTAACAGTGGATACGGTGACCAGTGCCACCACTTAGATCTGGTGACACAAAGCTTGTATTTAAAAACAAAACACACTTTTTTCACTGTTATAGATTGAATAGCAGTCAGTGTCCTTAAAGCGGGTGTGTTACGCTAACAGTGGATACGGTGACCAGTGCCACCACTTAGATCTGGTGTCACAATGGCTGGGATTTAAAACAAAACACTTTTTTCACTGTTATAGATTGAATAGCAGTCAGTGTCCTTAAAGCCGGTGTGTTACGCTAACAGTGGATACGGTGACCAGTGCCACCACTTATATCTGGTGTCACAATAGCTTGGATTTAAAAACAAAAAACTTTTTTCACTGTTATAGATTGAATAGCAGTGAGTGTCCTTAAAGCGGGTGTGTTACGCTAACAGTGGATACGGTGACCAGTGCCAACACTTAGATCTGGTGACACAAAGCTTGGGTTTAAAAACAAAAAACTTTTTTCACTGTTATAGATTGAATAGCAGTCAGTGTCCTTAAAGCGGGTGTGTTACGCTAACAGTGGATACTGTGACCAGTGCCAACACTTAGATCTGGTGACACAAAGCATGGATTTAAAAACAAAAAACTTTTTTCACTGTTATAGATTGAATAGCAGTCAGTGTCCTTAAAGCGGGTGTGTTACGCTAACAGTGGATACGCTGACCAGTGCCACCAATTAGATCTGGTGACA